TAAATATTTTTATGGGACCGGTTTTTATTAAATGTGGGTTAATACCCGAAAGTTTTTAAAACCATAACATTTTAAAGTTTGAAAAAAAAATTTAGGTGTTACATCGAACACTATAAGTTTATAGAGACGATCATATTTGACTTATGAGTTATTTTAATGTTATTTAGATCGTCTTCACTTTGGGAGAAGCCTTGCAAATTGCATCCATGGTTTCATGTGTCTCATAAACACATACACACACAAACATACACACACACACACACATATATATATATATATATATATATATATATATATATATATATATATATATATTACAAAAAAAAAAAACATAAATAGTAGTTATTATAATATAAATAATCATAATAATAAATAATAGTAATATTAATATTAATAATAAATAATAATAACAATAATTATAATAATAATAATAACCATAATAATTTAGACATTACACACGGCATACTTTAAAAATTATTAAAATCCATATGTAATCTTCTAAATAGAATTTGGAAGTAATTACGGGCGGGTATTTCTAGGCTCATGATGATTACAAAGAAGACACGTAAATGAATACAATTTGGAAGCAATTTTTTGTCATTTATAGCATCTTACTTTGGTATATTTTTTTATTTATGACATATGATTTTGTTTTAAGTTTTCTACAATACTGTTGTACTTTAAATATTATATTGTTTATTCTATTTAAGCATTGTATTTTTGAATATATTTTTTATTTATAATATCATATTTTATCTTATTATAACATTGTACTTTACAATATTTTTGTTATCTATGACATTTTTTTTATTTTAAGTTTTCTATAATAACATTGTACTTTAAATATTATATTGTTTTTTCTATTTGAGCATTATACTTTTGCATATATTTTTTTATTTATAGTATCATATTTTTTCCCTATTATAGCATTGTACTTTACAATATTTTTGGAAAGTACAATGCTATAATTGAAAAAAAATGAAAAAAAGTTTGTGTATTTGTATGTAATTTGGAAAGTACAATGCAATAATGAAAAAAATAGTTTGTAAGTACAAACTATTTTTTTGTCATTCTTTCTATTATAGCATTGTACTTTCCAAGTTGCATATAAATATACAAACTTTTTTTTTCATTTTTTTCTAAAATAGTTTGTACTTAACAAACTATTTTTTTTTCATTTTTTCCATTATAGCATTATACTTTCCAAATTACATACAAATACACAGACTTTTTTTCCATTATAGCATTGTACTTTCCAAGTTGCATACAAATACACAAACTTTTTTTTATTTTTTTTTTCAGTTATAGCATTATACTTTCCAAGTTGTATACAAATACACAAAGTTTTTTTTCATTTTTTTTCCATTATAACATTGCACTTTCTACATGAAGACACTTAAACATGCTTCCTAAACATATTGCATATTCATTTGCATCCTACTTTTTAATTTTTTTCCATACATATATTCATTATACACACATTTTTTCCATAGATTATACACATTACAATATAGAAAAATACACTTAAACATACATCCTACACGTTTTACATATTCATTATAGCATCATATTTTTTTCATTTTTTCCACACATTATATACATAAGTACACATATTATGCATACAAATACACTTGATGCTTCCTACACATATTACATATTCATTATAACATCATACTTTTTTTCCATTATATCAACCTACTTTTTTCCATTTTTTCCTTACATATATACACAAATTACATATATAATTTCCAAAGTCATACACATACACATATATTATAGTATCATACTTTGTTTTTTTCATTGCACACAAATACACATATACAAAAAAATACACATGGAAAAACACATACATGCATCATACACATACATATACAAATACATATCATATATACACAAAATATACATTCCACATACAAAAAGAAAGATAAAAAGATGAAAAGGAACCTGTGGTGGTGTAATTTCGAAGTTTTCTGGAGAGGGTTCCACAATCCTTAAATCGTTAAATTAAAAGCTTAAATTCAGTAGAATAACACCAAAACAGAAGAGAAATAGAAAATAAGTGAGGATTCAAACCTTTTCCGTTCGTTTTGGGTCGGAAGGCGTCGCCGGTGAGTTGCTTTTATCGTCAGAGAAGATTTGTCGTCGTCGGTAATGGAGGTGCTGTAATGGTCGGTTGTAAATCTCACCGGCCGGTGATAGAATGTCACAACAATCGAAAGTGCATGGAAGATGTTTCAGGGAATTAATTGGAGAAATCGCAAAAGAGGCAAGACAAGAAAGTGCATAAGTCAGGGGTTATCTACAAAGGGATTTTGTGGAGACGGTAGGGTTTTTGTGGCGACGGTAGGGTATTAGCGGCGACATCTATGGAGGGAAAAGTCAGCGCGTTTTTATTTTTTGGAGTATCAACCATTGGATTAGATGTAGATTAAACGAACAGGGTTTACAGATAGCATTTGACGCGGATCGACAGTGGGAAGGTATTAGCGGCGACAGTGGGAAAGTACATTGTCGCCACTAAAGGCGTCGCCACTAATATTATTATTTCTTGTAGTGAAAGCTGAAATTGGTTGCGAATCGGTCACAAACATCTTTAATAATTGGGGTTTTTTTAGAAACGGCCAATTTTATAGAACTCACCCAAGAAGCTATTGAGGAGGGAGAATAACAACAGTATAGTAGGAAATTAAGTCGAAAATTAAACAGAGAGTGGGAAAGACATCGAATCTTAGCAATTACAAAGAGGATCCTTACTCCTACATTTCAACCATAAATACACTAAAGACTTAATGTTCTCCACCATACGTGTAGGGAATTGAATTTCTTCTGAAATACTCGATCGTTCCGAGCTTTCCACAAACTCCATAGTAGTCCATAGCATATGGCAGTAAACCAGTCTCTTTTTGGGGGCATCTCCCCCAAGTAGCAACATAATTGATGAGATCTTGAACATTATGAACAACAGGCTGACTAATACCACACCAACGAAAAGCAACCTCCATAACTTACATCGCAAAAGGGTATTCCACTAAAATGTGATTAGTACACTTCATTGCGCCTATACAGGAACTACACCGACACATGTCAATCGGAACACCTCTGTAGGAAAGCGCCGATGTTGAGGGAATCCTTCCGATCAGAGCCCGCCAAATGAAATAGGTAACTTTTATGGGAATAATTTTACACCACCCACTGGGAATTTGATTGGAAGTTCAAGCATTCATTCATTCAATCTGCTTCCTGAGTAGTCCAACCTTATACCTGCCATCAAATGCTAGAAGACACGAGAATTGATCATCCCCATTATGGAGTTTTGTAGGGGCGATGACATCAGACATATGATCCAATTTATGAGAGAAACCATCAGTAATAGGACAAGACTTCCAATTCCAGTTGTTTCCACTATTGTTTTTTCTCTCTGCAACCATACAGGACTTTTTTTCCAGCTCATAACTTTAAATACACACATTCTACTAGATTAATTTTTTCATAACTTCAAATACACACATTCTAATCATACTCTTAAATCTATATACTTTTATCAATCATGGGATTTGAACGCGTGTGTGATTTTGTGATTGTTTGTCGATTTTGATAACACTGTTTTTAAGCTTGTTTGAGGTAATAGACTTACATTAATTGATATGGTCTTTAGACATATTTCACTATAATTATAACAATATAATTAATACATTTTTATGGTTTAGTCTCAAATGGTCTAATAATCTTTTTTTGGAAACGATGGAATTTCATTAAAAAAGTCACAGCCTAAAAGTGGAAGGCAAGGCAGGGAAAGAAAAAACAGAAAAAATTACAAAATGTTGAAAGGATAATTACACCAAGTAGCCCAATTACAATTTCCGTATCCCCCTATGCTTCACCCAACTAAACATCATCGTTATGATATTATCCGCCAAGTTCGAAGGCGAAACCCAAGTTAATTTTATTGAAAATCTTGTCGTTTCGGGCCTACCAAACACCCCAAAGATAACCATAGATGATAGCTAGAAGTATCTTCCTTTTATACTACAACAATTAATAATTCTATCAGAAGTATCACGAGCAAAATGACACCCAAGAAAGATACGATCAATTTCATCCAAATCCGAAGTGCAACCTATAACAGAAGTGCCAGGAAGTCTATTTGCTCTACGAGAGAACGTAGTCGCAGAAGAAATATGATCCAAGCAAGCACGCCAGAAAGTCTAATACTCTCATTGGTGTTTTAACCCTGTATCATAGGTTGTTTGTCCTTCGCATGTAGTCTTTTCCTTTGTATTGTGTAGAGTTTTTTAATTTAATTAAATCGTTGTCGTTCATAAAATTCTATAATATAACGACAAACTGAGGCTTAATTATATTTCCTAATTTTTAGATGTTATAGGTATATAGTGTACATATAGCATCATGTTCATGCATGCAACCAATTCGTTAATTATTTATTCCTGTCACCTTTTCCCTTTCTCCATTTATTAATTACTCGCCGAGAATTTATATTATTTTTTATTTTACATAACTTTATGGTACTATCCTTTTTCTTTTATAATTTCTATCTCCTAATTTCTATTCACATTTTTATTGAAAAACAATACTTTTTTATTCTAATATCGTACTAAAACAATCACATTCTTTTGTTAATTAATTACCAATCGCTTGTCTGGTGTGCCTTCATTTCTCAGTTGATCACCATGTGCCTGTTTTGCATCCATACTCTTCCATAAGTCCATTCCTTCACATCTAACCCTTCAAAAAACACCATAGATAAACTTTTTAGAAGTAAATAGAATTAGAAGCCTCGGACTCCTTGATGAAGTTCACAAGAACCCATCTGCAACCCCCTTCCATCTTTCAAAATCATTCATGAGTCCATTCAATTGAGTGCATCTTTACCTCTTCCACAGGGAACTCAAACTACCCACATCCCTAGCTATAGCTTCTCTCTTTCTCTCATAAATTGCTATTAGTGTTCCCTATCATATATGCACCATTGATCAATCTCTATGTTGTCTCACAACATACCATCAAAACAGGCTAACAAAGATGAAAGTCAAAGCACGGGTGGTGGCGGTGGTGGTGGAAATGGTGGGAAGAAAACATCATCGTTAAGGGCACCAGAACAAAACCTGAAGTGCCCAAGATGTGATTCACCCAACACGAAGTTCTGCTATTACAACAACTATAACCTCGCTCAGCCTAGACACTTTTGCAAGGCCTGTAGAAGATACTGGACTAAAGGTGGGGCTCTTAGAAACGTTCCCATAGGGGGCAGTTGTAGAAAGAACAAGAAGACAAAATCTTGTTCCTCGAGGTTTTTTATAGGGGAGCCTTCCTCCAAAGGCTCGTCTTCGGATATCGGAGGGATGAAATTTTATGGTCTTTCTGCCATGGATTCCGGGATAAACTTTCCTCCTAGAGTTACAACCACTAACCATTTCTCTTCTTCGTATGGCGACACAGTTAATCCTTCCTTTGTAAATCTTGATCCATTAGGGTTTAATTTCGCGCTTTCATCATCTCACATTACGATGAAACAAGGACATCATCATCATCAACAACAACAACAGCATAATCAAAGTGGAGGAGGGTTAGCAAATTTTCATGAAACTATGGGCACAACTAACAATCTTCTTCATAATACTGGTCTTGCTTCTTCCATAGAATCTTTAAGTTCTATAAACCAAGATTTGCATTGGAAGCTGCAGCAACAAAGACTGACTATGTTGTTTGGTGGCGATGGTGGTGGCGGCAGAGGTGGTGGCGGAGAGAACGGTCAGCAACAGCAGAGAAAACAAGGTTTTCTTGAACCACATGCTCAGAAATTACAACCCATTTTGTTTCAGAACCTTGAGATTTCAAAGGCATCACAGTCTTCTATAGATGGTGATTCGAGAAAAGACACTGGTCATGGCAATGGTGGTGGTGGTTTGGCGACGGAATGGTTCTTTGACGACAGTTATGCACCAGCTAATGTGAATCACGCAACTCCAACAGGTAGCAACAGCGCAGGGAATGATCAAAGTGGAAGCATAAACAACTGGAATGGAATTGAAGATTGGAATACCTTGAAGCAGTACAGCTCAATTCCATAGTACGTAGCATTTGAAGATTCACAGACAAAGAGAACAACACTATATTAATTAAGGTAGCCTATTTTCCTTTTTCTTTTTATATGTTGGTTTTTAAATTTTAACCAAGTAAGATGAGGATGATCATCAAGTTCTTTGTATAATTGAACTTATGTTATTTTCATTGTTTTAAGTGTATCCGTATTTAATTACAAATTTTTAATATGTATGCTTTCTAATTACTAATTACTAATTGCTTATGTTAGAGTCTGTTCTCGTATTAAAATAATGTAATGTTGTAGTTATATAATTTAAGTAAAAGTATCTGTCTATCAATTGATTAAATTTCTATCAAAATGTTAAAAAAATGTTATGAACCAAAATTATTGTTAATCATCTATTATTATATATTTCATAATTCATACAATTCTATCAATATTTTTCCATAATACATTGAACTTTATAAAGTTCAATGAAACATATTTAAATATTTATCTAAAAGTTAAAAAACTTTCATTATTCTTATTGAAGATTTCAATAACATTAAAATTCAAATTCATTGAACAACAAAATAGTATCTTACAATAATAGAGTTTAATTCATTAAATAACAATGTTTGTCATCTCATCTTTCAACTCTTTTAACTCTACAGTGTGGATGCTCTTAGACCATCAATAAATTTTAATTTAAACTTTCATAAGAAGATATACATTTATCTTGTAGCCACCGACCATCCAAAAGAAGGAATTGTTCATTTTGAGAAGGAGGATTAACTTTTGTATATGCAAATGTATGATAATGGTTCCTTTCTTTTATCAATTAACTTCTAATACCATGATTTCAGACTTTCGTACGTTTTTGTCCATTGTCTTTTTACTAAAGAAAGGACAAAAAGTTTTATTTGTTTTGTCTTGGTTTTTTTTTTTTTTGTTAATACGGATATACATTCAAAATAAATGTAAACCCTTAAGTAATCGGGTTAATTTGCAAAAGAAATGTGATATGTAACTTGATATATATAGTTTAAATGATCAAATATTTACAATGTATTTACTATTTATCTTAAAAGACAATGAGTATCCTTGGTATAAAAATAGAGTTATATGTATCGGGATGTGTGTAGAGGTAGGATTAGGGATTAATTTAAAAAGACGATGCATGAATTGGTACAGCATGCATGTGTTATAATGGAATCGTTTTAGTGTTTCAGAACTAGTCTCACTCAGAGTGTCTTCTCAATCCAGTAACTGCAACACTCAGTCTTCGCAGTTGATGCTTTTATGAAACATAACAAGAGCTACGTAACGTACCCAACCCACCCATCTTTTTTCTTAGCTCCTACGCCCTTCTTCTGCATCCACCTGACTCAAAAGTAAACCCCCATCCCTCACCTCTGTCACAACTCAACATGCTTCAGTGTGTTTGTATGGATAAAGTTAATTAATAACCCAGTATTTAGGAATTGAAGCTCTTTAATTAGCTATATATACGTACGTATATGTCAATGACTGCTTTGACAGAAGCCCTGATCAGACCAAAACTAATGTTCATCGAGTTAAGGAGCTAGCTAGCTGTTAGAACCTTCTTGCTTTAATGTCTTTTAATTACTTGTCTCCCAAACCTTAAACACATTCTGTTTGATTCCTTGGAGTTTTCTGTAAAATCCACCTCCGTCCAAAATACACTGTATATAATACGTACACAGCTATGTATGTTTAGGGTTCTGCACTACGATGCACTTACACAGTTACACATCCATGACAATACGTATACATTGTTGTATAATATACAAATGTGAGATTCGAAGCATATATCTTTAAATTGTAAACCCAGATGAACAGATATATAAAACTTTTCGTATTTTTGTTGATCAATTTATCTTAGGTTGTCGGTTTAATTCTCCACCAACTATATGAACTAGGTCATGATTTTGTATGATGTGATCTTGAAATGAGTATTAGTGTGTTACTACCAAACCTCAAAAATGTCAATAAGTAATCATCAAAAACTGTCTCTTTCTAGGGCTGCCGGCGTAATTTACTGAAACTTTTTAGAATCGAGAGAGAAAGAGGGTGGTGCTGCTGCGTGATTAACGTGATGGAGTGGCTGGAATAGGAGAATTTTGGTTGGCCAAGATTAAAACAGCTCATCATATATATTTGGTGTGTGTATGGTGTTGAGCTGTCACATTTCACAACCTGCGAGAAGTTCATGACTTTGCATGCAAAATATAAGTAGTTAGATTACCTTCGGTGCTCAGTTTGATAAGGGTCGGATTTCTTAAGATGCACATAAGTGTACGATTTCGAGGCCATGTACCTATTTTCCGAAACAACAAAATTCGTCTCGGTTCACATATATAAAGCGATACACTAAATTAAATACATGGAGAACGAGAACACACCAAGAATTTAAAAAAAAAAACAAAACAAAACAAAACAATAAAAACAAAACAAAGAAAACAAAAATTAATCCATATAGGTAATGTTTGTGATCCACTTATCACATCTCATTTAACACCACTAGAAAAAGAACTATTTCCAAAGGCTATTTCCAACGGAATTTCATCTATCATAAAAAGTTTTGCGGACTATTTCCAACGGAATTTCATCTATCATAAAAAGTTTTGCGGACTATTTCCAACGGAATTTCATCTATCATAAAAAGTTTTGTGGATCATCGGTGACGGATTCCGTCGATTATTTTGTAGGAATTTTACCGGCGACTTAATTACACATAGCTCACAAACAGGCCCGGTTTGACCATATCTGATGAGTCCATGTTGACCACTTTGACCATTTCCAACGGATTTACGAAGGATCAGGTTTGACAATCTTTGTCCATTTCTAAGGATATCCGAAGAATAAGATTTGACCACCTTTAACCATTTACGACGGATCTCACAATTCCCAATGTAATCTAGATTGACAAGTTTTGACTTTTTCCTACAGACAGACATTTTCAGTTTTTAGTAACAGATATTTCCAATCCGTCACTAAAATATTTTTAAAAGTTCCAAAAAAAATGGTCCAAAATTGTAACGTCCTCTTTCCAGGCATTCATTTATGAGCTTTTTCCTGGCCACGACGCGACGTTATGTTTGTCGCGGCGTGGTAGCCGTTTTGGGCCTAAACCCCTAATTACGGGATTGGTGCCCTATTTAAGGGCACTAACTCCTAGTGTTGCCTCATTTGACAGCTTGCACCCTCTAAAAACGAACCATGTCCAAACCCTAGCCTCCATTTGTGTGTTTTGAGTGCTTAAGCTCCATTCTTGTGAAGGTTGAAGGAAGAAAGAGCCCTTGTTATTGCTTGTGAGTGTAGTTTCAACTTAGATCCATCATCTTCATCTCATTTCAGACTCATTGGAGGTAAAAAGTCTCTACCTTGCTTATTGTTTCTCTAGATCTAGTTCTAGGTCATTTTATGAGGTTTTGGTCCCAAATCTCCTTGTTCTTGGAGTTTCAGTGAACTCCTGAACCCTTGAGTGCATAGTTAGCTTCTTGACCTTAGAGTTGGTTTGAAAGTTGGCTTGCATGGCTTGTTGAGTGAGTCCATGCCTTCCTGTTGTCATCAAGAACATAGAATTTGAGATCTTGTCTTAATAAGATGTATTAATGGATTGGAAACTTTATTCATCAAGACCTTGAGAGGATCTAGATCTGAGCTTTGGAGCTTTTGTGATTGAGGAATAACAACTTAATCCATTAAGTTGTTGGTGCCCAGTGTTTACGGTGTGGCTACCTATTGTCACTGCGTGGCGACTGGTGTTTCTGCAACCTTTTTCGCATGGACATTGTCGCGGCGTGGCCGATGGTGGCCACAACATGGGAATCGACTGGTTGCCCGACTGTTTTGTCTTGGAGTGCCCGCGACGTAGACTATGGGTGGCCATAACGTAGAGACCTGTCAAAGTTGAATTTAACCATTGACTGCGACCATGGTTGGCTCTTAGTCAATCAGGGGTTATGGAGTGTAGACTAAGTGGGTACTTCCTTATTTTTGAATAGGTGATTCATAGTACCAGTCTTCATCATGTGAGATCTGTTGTGTTTTAGTTGCTATCTTCGAGGTGAATCCTCTCACTATACTATAAGACACTAGGTGTCGTTTATGCATGTGCCTATATGACTATTGTTGGTAAGATTATATGTTGTATGCATGGAGTCGATCTGGGCTCGGAGTCACTATAGACTCAGGGTTGATACGGTCCCGGTGGAGCTGATCTGGGCTCGAAGTCATTATAGAATCGTGATTGATACAAACCTATATAGCTATGTGTTGTTATATATGTTGTATGTGGTATTTTGGGAGAAATCACTAAGCTTTGTGCTTACAGTTGTTGATATATTGTATTTCAGGTACTTCAGATGATCGCGGTAAGGCCAAGGCTTGATTATACACATCCACATGTAGATTTTGTGATTCCATATGTTTTGATGCTCTGATATTTTGGGATGATTGTATTTGATATTTGTGTTTTCTTGACTTGGTTTTTGAGAGAAATATTTTATCCTTAATTAAAAAAATGAAAATTTTGTTTTGAAAATGGGATGTTACAAGTTGGTATCAGAGCCCTGGTTTGAGGGATTTGGATGAACACTCGTAGGATTCCATACTCAAACTAGGATCTGAGAAAAATTTTAATAAAAACCTTTTAAACAGTAAAGAATTTCAAAGAAGCAAAAAGGAGGAAGCAATGTGTACAATTAGCCAGAGCTCGAAAGTGATCTCCCAAATTACCCATACATGTGTTTGTTGTATTTGAGTTATCATATGAATTGATAGAAATGAATGTTATAGATAGGCTAAGGGTCCCTCAGGAAGTGCGTAATAGAGTTGCCTGAATTATGATGTATTTTCCTTAGAGATTACTTGTGTTGCTTTGTTAGGGTTGAAACTAAGGTTATTATTTGCTTTGTGTGTATACTTTGTGGTTGTGTATAGTTAGGAATTTATAGCCTTAGAATGCATGGTTTGGCCTAAATTCATGTTCCTTGTCTGATTGTGGATTTGAGGTAGAAT